CTATCTAAATGCGTTACTTGTGTTTTTGCTTTGGAATATCCTCAGGCTTTGGTTGAAGATTGGGACAGAAAATTGAAACTGTTTGCGAGAACACTGGATGAATGGCTTCTCTGTCAGCGGAACTGGCTTTATCTTGAGACAATTTTTTCTGCTGCCGACATACAAAGGTAGGAAAATTGTCTTTTGGACTGCTTTTTCATCGTCTGTTCATTAGTTGAAGTCCCGTACAGGCCTGCATTTTTTCAGGCCTTGTTTTCACTACTGCTTAAGTAGTGTTCTTTAGTGCGGAGATCGCTTTCATATACTCTTTTTGTTTTGACAGGCAACTTCCAAATGAAGCCCGCCTGTTTGCCCAAGTCGACAAATCCTGGAGAGACATTATGAGAAGAACGATTGATAAACCGAATGCTTTTAAGGCCTCAACAGCTGCAGGTGAAAATCATTGTTTAAAAGACAAAAACACACATTTGATCCCATGTTAGATTGGCCAGGAGGGTGTTTTCAGGACTGGTCACGTATAAACGTTGTACAGATCATTACACAAGGAAGGAGAGTCGTGTGACGATTAAAAAAATATTGTGTACGAGACAGGTCGCGAAACTTAGGCTATTGTACGTGTGATAATGATACTGTTCGTATTTTGTGGGTGAGAAATGTTTGGAAGTTTACTGGCCTTCTTTAAGTCGGGTATCATCATAGGCTACGACTACGAAATGTTGCTTCTTTTAGAGAGAACGGCGGGGTATAGAATCAAATTGAATCGAAGAAGTCGTAGAACTCTTGTAGGGTTTGCGGTCAAGAGGGGATGGAAGGAACTGTCACGCTCTGATCTCACAAGAACACACGAACCATTCCACTCGAATTAAAACGACATAATAACAAATCGCTACTTCTCACTCGATCTAAAAGCTATCATGTGATTGATGACGTGGTAATGTATTAACGTCAATATATTTGCATTTTGGCCACTGTTAGGTGTGCTGGAAGTATTGCAAACAAGTAACTCGCATTTAGAGAAAATTCACAGATGTTTAGAGGTGGGTTTCCGTAATTGAGTTAGGACAGTAAACTCTTGGAAAAAATAAATTGCAGAAGAAGTCAGTTGAAACGCAAAATAATCGTTTGAGCAGTTGGCGCAAGATTTCTACCCAATGATCAAGAACAGCAAAGCTAAACCAATGCAATCTCGGACGTCTTTCGACAGTCAAGAGAAATATCCTTGTAATCCTTGAAGTCCCAAGATCTGATTGTAAATTGTCCCTTCTGGCTGCTACACATCTCTTTGTAAATTAGTTACAAGAATTTGGTGTTAGATCAAGATAACAACTTCTAACTGATAAGTTTAAATATTCTCATTACCTGTTTGCTGGATAATGTATTGATAATATAGGGAGAAGTTACATGTTAATCTCTTCTGGGAATTCAAGGGTGAACCTCTTTATCAGACTACCCTTGTATTACGTCGAATTTTTTTTATCTTAGACAGGCTATTGTCCAGAATGTCTGGACACATTCGGGACTTTCCCTGTGCTCTAACGATGTTTCGCGGTATTTTTGTTTATTCTTTGTTTCTGTTTTGTTATTGTTAAGGACTACCTTGAAACAAAGAGATTGGTGTTTGCGAGATTTTACTTCCTTAGCAACGAAGACTTGCTTGACATATTGGCCAATAGCAAGAACCCCAATGCTGTCCAGGTATGTAATCCATTATACACCGAATGCAAATATAGCGTCCATTTTGAGTTGCCATCGTTCTGGACTCACCAGCCTCCCATACATGTTATAATCCTTTTGTGTTTCCGCGTGAAGACGAGGCTAGTGAGTCCAGAACAATGGCAATTCAAATTGGACGCCATATTTGCTTTTGGTGTATACTAAGGTAACACTTCCTCTTTTTTGCCAAGGGACTGAATAAGAGTTTTCGATAACAGTCAAAGTAGATGGTGAAAACTCAAGAAAAAGCCAAGAAATGTCAACTCGCGTCGAAGGCACAAGCCTCTAGGAAGGTCAGGGCGTTCTCGTAGTGATAATTTTAATAGTTTCGACTCTCTAAAATATATTCCTCGTATCCTGCAATTCGAAGTTTCTCGACGTGCGATTCGTAAAATCTTGAGCAATGTCTCAATCAAGGCAGGCGAGAAACGTAAGAAATTAAAATGACTTTTGACGGCTGCCAGATCCTTTTGAAAAACCTCACCTAATTTTCTTGTGTTTTTTTTTTTTTTTTTTTTCATAACAGCCTCACTTGAGAAAATGTTTTGGCAACATTTATCAGCTGAGCATTGTTCGTCAAGCGCACTCTCCAGCGCAGATCCAGAACATGACTTCAGAGGAAGGGGAAAGTGTATTACTGCCCAAGTGAGAAAAAAAATACTTTTATTTTACCTTTAGCTTGTTCCAAGGCATCACAGCGATAACGACATCTTTGCTCGCAACGAAAAGTCCTGTGAACAAGTATTGCATTGTATTGTATTGATCTCCCCAGTTCCCTTCGCAGTCGTTATTTGGTCACGTACGCAACGCGTTACATCGTATTTCGTGACCAGGTAAATATACTGCTGCAAAGGTGACTAGCCTTTCCACCTGGTCTTCCTATATTTCTCTGTCAAATAGCCCTACGTCTCTTTACGAATCCCAGAGAGGGAGGGGGGAATGGATTCTTGGATAGCTAGGTTTGGAACTACCTGAGGTTACACGTATGTGTTTTTTCCCACCAGAACCATGCCTCTTAATGAGGTACACGGTTTTGTTTTCGCACAGTTAAAAATATCTTGAGAAGATGGAAAGAACCCCTCGTAAGCCTCCCAAAAAAATGAAAGACATAACCATCTGTTTTTACAGCTGTGTTTGTTACGCACCATACTTACAATAAAAATGTATTGTTTTTAGAATTTTGTCCCGAAAAAACGAGAGGCAAAAAATGTATTGTTTTTAGAATTTTGTCCCGAAAAAACGAGAGGCAAAACGAAAAAGATTTTTTTTTCCTTTACTTTCTTTGGGAGTTAACCAGTAAGATTGACCTTAATTTGGTAGATCCACTGTTCCTGGCTTGTGTTCAAACACATCGAACGCAACCTTAATTGCCTCATTAAAATGTTGTTTCTCTCTGATAGAACTTTAAGAGCGAGGGGAACTGTGGAGTCGTGGTTGTTCGGTGTCGAACTCGCTATGTACGAGACTGTCAAGATGTAAGTATCCTCTAAAGTGTCACGATGCTCAGGCAGTCATTTTGTGTGTGCGTGCGTGCGTGCGTGCGTGTTGCAAAGGTTTAAGGTCAACTCTTGGATCGTTTTCTTTTCAATTCAAAGTTACTTTGAACATTGTTTGTTTTCTGTTTTCATAACAGGCACTTAAGAAAGTGTTTAGTGGATTATGGCACGAGGGAGTATTCTGAGTGGGTTTTGGCTCATCCAGGACAAGCAATACTGACTGTTGTAAGTGATTAACTTTTAACACACGGGACTATTTTATTCAAATTTCCTCCTTTTTCATTTCACCAATGACGACTTAAATTCTGGAGTGTCGAAGTTCAGCACAATGTTAAAAGTATTAAATATTTTTTGAAAACCTGAGATTTAACTGAAGATATGGTTTTACGGTGGTTTCCCCATATTGTAAGTTTGACCACCTTTGCGAGTTTGCCCCCTGTAATAAAACATTTTTGTTTCCGCCTTTACTAATTCGCCCCCAAATCTTTCAACTCGTTTCGCAACAGCAGAACGTATGATATCAACATGCATCAACAAGTATCAACATACACTCTCGTCTTGACAATTTATTTCAGTAACCTCTTTCTGAACTTTCCTACACAATTGGCGAGTTGATGGATAAAATTTTCAACTCATGAATTAAGTAAATTTATTTGCAATTGTAATTTTCGAAGTATCAAATCAGTTAATGTCAAATTCTGTCCTCATTCTAGTCTCAAATTGTCTTCAATCGTGACGTACTGACGTGTTTCCGTACGACAAAACCCAAAGAAGCTCTTCAGAACAAGAGAGAAAAACTAGTCTCGGTCCTCCACAGTTTATCACAGATGGTAACGTCATCACTAGTCCCTCATCAGCACCAAACACTAGAAGCTCTGTTAACAATTGATGTGCATGCCCGTGATGTCCTGGACTCCATGATTGCTAATCAGGTCTATCAGATGGAGGATTTTCAGTGGACCAGGTAATGGCACAAATATTAGTTACAATACAAAATAGTCACCACACTACTGATATCGGAGAGAGTATCAACGTAAAAAAATACAGCATTTTCTTGGCCCTGCTACTCGCAATCTATTCTGTGATATATAAAGTGTGACTTGATTTTCGTAGAACAGTGCTCAATACATAGAAGTAGAGCGAAGTATATATTGTGGGAGGAAAAAGACAAGTAAACTACAAGTTCATCCCTACAAGCCTGTTTCGTGGTCGCTCACTCATCAGGGGTCGCCCACTCATCACAATATATATATATATATATATATATATAAGTGTAAAACGATGAAACATGAAGCAAACTTCTAACTGTTCCAGCTTTAATGTGGCGACGTTTCGGCCTTCGGCCTTCTTCAGGTGGAACGTATTTACATAGAAATTAAAAACTAAAAATCCTAGTAGGATTACAGAATGACCTGAATTTATACTAAAAGTAAGAAATAAAAATAGTATTGCGTAATGCATTCCAGACCTAAATANTGAAACATGAAGCAAACTTCTAACTGTTCCAGCTTTAATGTGGCGACGTTTCGGCCTTCGGCCTTCTTCAGGTGGAACGTATTTACATAGAAATTAAAAACTAAAAATCCTAGCGCGAGGGCCGTACTGGGAGAATGTCGGCCCGAGGTCTTGACAGTACGGACCGAGCGCAGCGAGGTCCGTACAAAAAAGACCGAGGGCCGATATTCTTCCAGTACGGTCCCGAGTAGGCTTGGTTAATAAGAGATTTATTATACGACTGAAGTTCAAAGGGACACAAGTGTGGTATCATTCGGGACTATTCGGGACAGTGCACGGTCCAATACTGGAGAACATTGGACCGGCAATAGAGCATTTTGATTGGTTGATTTTAGTTATTGACCCTCTGACTGCCCGAGTCGTGTAATAAATAGCGATACCCTTTTGTATCATTAAAGCAGTTTTCAATTTAGTGCAGAAAGCGATCCTGGACTGCTTTGGTTTTGCTTCACTTCGCTCTGTGATTGGTCTTCAAAACTCGCGCCACTGTCTCAACTAATCAGATGCAAAATTGAAACCAATCACGACTTGGTCGCCCTGCGTTTTTCCGCGCCTGAGGCAGTTTGGTTGTTTTTACTTTAAGTTCTCATTGGCTCTCAAAGGTATTCTCCTTTCTTCTGTGTAACTGCCATACTATTTATTGGTTTGGTTTTACGGCACAATCGTAAAGCGCTGTATTGAACAAAAACATGAGTCAGTCGAGTTGTTAAGTTTTGAACGACGAGTGGACTTCTTCTAAATGAACTTGATTGTTCTCTCTCGATTTCTATGTGTTAATTGTCACACACCAGGGGCCCGTGTCTCGAAAGTCCCGGTAACTTAACGGGCCCGTAAAGCTGCTCTGTTCTCATTCAAGATGGGGATTTTAAAAGTTTTGAAAATGATACATTAAAACCATCAGAAACAAAATGGATTCATTCGTGTGCTAGAACCAGCTTTTGCTATCCTTTAAATTTTGAATTTAAAATGTGGCATCGGGCCCGTTAAGTTAACGGGACTTTCGAGAAACAAACCCCAGGATTCTATCCATATACGCAATAGTGTGGAAAGAAGTGAAGGCTGACGCTTCATCAATGTTTCTAATCATGCCATAGACTCAGAAATTCTCATCGGAAAGCTTTCATCGGGAACTCGTCTCTTTAAAATAATTTTCCTCCAGTAATGACTCTGCATATAACACTGTACTTAGAACTATCTAGTGCGACCCCCCTTGCTGCCCATTGTTGCCAGAAGTTACTCCCTAACAGGCAAGAATGCTCTTAATCTTTAGGCAACTACGTTACGAGTGGAATGACGAGCGGCAAGCCTGTATGGTCCGTCACAGCAATGCAGTGTTTGAGTATGGCTATGAATATCTTGGCTGTTCTCCGCGGCTTGTCATTACCCCACTGACTGACAGATGTTATCTAACACTGACTGGAGCGCTCAATCTTCACCTTAATGGCGCTCCTGCTGGACCAGCTGGTACTGGTAAAACAGAAACTGTTAAGGATCTTGGAAAGGTATTTAAAGTGTCTGTACGGCCAACAGGGTTTTTATTGTTTTGGTATCTCTTTAACCTGTAAAAAAGTATTCTCAAAAGAAAATTTTGATTCTGACGCCTCTTCACCCTAAAATCGAGCTTTAAAGTTCCCGCTTCGGCCACGCCCAATAAAGTTGACCGCGTAAGGGAAGATTGGTGATGAGTGACGTCACTCCAGGAGCGTCTCGAGAGTCGTATTGTTACTTTGCTTGACAAACGCAGTACTTTTACAACACATCTATCGGGCATATTTATGTTGCCGAAAACTCTTTACCTTATTGAAAAAAACAGTGAAATGAACCACTGGCGGTATTTGGCGCGTTCCTGACTTGACGTCACGACCCATTCTGGAACCCAATCTCTATTTTGCCCCGACTCACGGTCGCCTTCAATGGGCGTGGCCAAAGCGGGAAGTTTAAAGCTCGATTTCAGGGCGAAGACTCGTCAGAATCCAATTTTTATTTAAGAATACTTTTTTACATGTTTATTGCATACCATAACTATAAAAACCCTGTTGGCCGTATAGACACTTTAAGCAAAATACTTACTTTTCATTAAGAATACTAATTTTTCGTCTTGTCACGAGCACGGGATAAAAATTGCACATATAAAGAAAACTTTTCGTTCCATTCCCGTCGTAGGACGAAAAAAGCACTTTCTGCATTTATTATCCAGCTAAAAATTTGCCATTTTTTTTAATCCTATTTACTCATTGCTTATCTTTTTAGATTGAAAGACGCTTGTCACTTATGATGCCAATAAAAGCTTAACTTATCATAGAGTTCTCTATAGCACAATGGGAGAGCATCGGAGCACGGAATCCAACGATCGTCTGAAGTTTGATTCCTTGTGAGGACTTTTATCAGGGGCGTAGCCAGGATTTATCCAAGGGGGGGTCACAGAGGCTACTCACCATTTACACCGCTGCTCTCCCGCGTGTATCGGCGGACTCAGTCGTATTATTGCGGCATGAAGGCCCATATTAACTAAATACAAGAGCCGTTGACGAAAATAGTTTACAAAAAAAAAAACCAAATTTTAAAAAAGTGGGCTTTTCAACAATGGCTCTTACGGCCAAGATATTGTCATGGCGTTTTCGCCACCTGGATATTGTAGGTTGTTTGTTCTAAAAAAGGCCTACCAAGGTAGGGTCACGGGCACCCCAGGATTCCCCTGCCTACGCCCTTGTTTATACTTTGTTCCACTCTGTCCCATTTGCTCTAGTTTATATAAATATAAAACTTTCTCGAAGTCACTTTGAACCTAAACAAAGGATCTTATGAGCCATATACAAAGCTTAACAACGCACCGCTTTATGTGCACCGTGAAAGCAATCATCCATCTTCCATCCTAAAGAACATTCCCCTGGCGATCAATAAAAGGCTTAGCGAAATCTCATCGGACAGGGTATCCTTCGACAAAGCAGCACCCATGTATCAGCAAGCGTTAGAAGCAAGCGGCTATAATCACCAATTAAAATTTGACACAACAACTAAAGACCAGACGAGTAGAGAAGGGAGAAGAAGACACCGAAATATAACTTGGTATAACCCACCTTTCAGTAAGAACATTGCTACTAACGTGGGAAAGAAATTTTTAGGCATCGTAAAAGAATCCTTTACACCAGAGCACCCGCTAAGAAAAATTTTTAATGGGAACACATTGAAAGTGAGCTTTATTCGTGCATGCCAAATTTGGAAGAATATTCAGCGCCCACAACAAGTCCTCCCTCGCAAATAATTCTCAATCACGTGAAAAATTATGCAATTGTAGAGACAAGCACTCTTGTCCGCTAGGTGGCGATTGGCTAATTCACGGTTGAAAGTCCCATGGGAAAGCAAACATACATCGGGCTTACTGCGAACAAATTTAGAACAAGATTTAGAAACCATACGGCTTCATTTAGAAATGAGAACAAAAGGAACGCAACAGAGTTGAGCAAATATATCTGGTCCCTAAAGGACGCCGAAACGGAGTTTTCCGTGACCTGGAAAATAATGGCCGTAATTGCATAACAGAAAAATTTTTCATCATATGCAGACCAGGGGCGGGCACCTTGAACAAAAGGAATGAGCTGGCGAGTGCGTGCCGGCACTCAACCAAATACTTGACAAGGCATGCTTGAACCATCGACTTGTAAAAGGAACGTTAGGTAACCGGTGTTTTTATGGACCTGACGAGAGAGTACCACCAGACCCTTTCGAAACAGTTCTGTAGTGCGAAGTTTTAATTTTTATTTTCCTACACAATTAACTGCATTATATATATATATATTTACTAAAAACTGGATCATTGGATAATACAATTCAAGACTTTTTATTGGCTTAGCCATTATGGTATATGAGCCAATATACCATAATCTAACATCTGTACAATGTAACATCCGTTTTCTTCTTACAAAATAAAGTCGAGAAGCTATGTCTGATATCTTGGGGGCGTTTTTTTTAATAAAACAATTATTCTACTCGCGCTTGTTGGATATGGAATGATTATAGCCAACTCGGCGCTACGCGCTACGCGCCTCGTTGGCTATCTATCATCTCATATCCAACGTGCGCTCGTGGAATAATTGTTAAATATACATGCCTACACTTGGTCCCACAAGTGTAGCGCCCAGGCAATGGTTTATTCCAGAGCTTGGTCCAATGTCTGCACTGCACTGACGAGACCCACATAGGTCGAAACAGTGTGCACCCTGTCTGCAGTTATATATATATAATGGGAAATTGTTTCTCCTGAACGGCTGTTTTTTTAAGTTAACTAACACGCATGTCATGTTTTGTTTTAGGCCATGGGAAAACAGTGTCTTGTGTTCAACTGTTCTGAAGGACTTGATTATAAGGTAACCTTTTATTCAGTTTTACATGATGAAGGATGATCTCTCAGTGATTTCTCGTTCAAATGACGTACTCTATATTTGCTTTTCTTGTTTGTCTTGAAGAGAATTGCAACTAGCCGTTAAGATTGTTTCAATAAACATCTTAATTCGACGAGGGAAGAAGTGTACGTTGTATTGCTCTCTTTAGGAGCATGCAGGTCTGGCGCATAAGATTCTCGGGTAAAAAAGGAACAGTTGCCCTCCAAAGACGTTGTTTTGCTAAAAATTAATTTGCATTCCTTGTCGCTACACTGTTGAAATTGTCTTCATTGTAATATCTATCCTTATATTCCGTGTCAATAAGTGATGACATTTTGTTCAAACCCTTTGACAACCTCGTTCCTAGGGCCTTTTCCCGCCCCACCCCCAACTAAGGGAAAAGGCCCTAGGAACGAGGTTGGCCCATTAACTCCCAAGCTGCTAGTCTTAGGCAGTGGAAAACCGTTATACGCAGGTTTGACTTGAGTAACATCTTAGACGGATGCAGCGGCTGTTATCTAGACAATTCGTAATTGTAAGTTTTCTTATTCACGATTCCTGTACATTATTTATTCTTAGTTTATAATGAAGATCTACCTATATTTAATTCAATTTTTATTTTAGACAGTTAAGTCAGGTGCCCTTTATTAGCAGTGGGGATTCCCAACTGATAGATGAAATAGACACGTTAATAAAGTCATTATTATTATTATTATTGTTATTATTATTATTATTATTATTATTATTATTATTATAAGATCCGATTGTTAATTCTCCCCTCTAGCTCCTACACATCTCCTTGTAAGTAAGTTACGAGAATTTGAAGTCGTATCAAAATAGCAGCTTTTACCTGAGTATTTTGATTACCTGTTCGCTGGATTATGCATAAATATCACAAGGAGAAGTTACATGTTAATCCCTTCTGGGAGTTATATAGGATTATATGCTCGTTAAGGCTCCGAATAAACGCTGATTCTCTTAGCACACTGGATTTTGTAAGCTTGAAAACGGCGAGGCTAACCAGTGTACAAACTGACTCTGCCATATCTGGACTATGAACTGATTGCGTTTTCTCTCTCTCTTTTTGCTTATCTGCTTGTGTACCAGATGATGGGCAAGTTTTTCTCCGGTTTGGCTCAATCTGGATCATGGTTCTGCTTTGATGAGTTCAATCGTATTGATGTAGAAGTGTTATCAGTCATCGCTCAACAGCTTCACACCATTAAAACGGCTAAAGATAATAACGTTACCAGGTGAGGCAAGTTAGATTAGCGGAACAGAGTGGTTAAACTTCTGTGCACATGCGAACATTTAGAGGCAAGATGGTTTGCTTTCAGGGTGTCCAAATCAAGATATCCTTTAAACAACCACACAAGTAGAGATTTTTCGGCGAATCTCAGTACGAAAAGTCTCGAGTTTTCCTTTTCAGTACGCTTTCTTTTACAGATTTCAGCGTGTCTCTTCGCAAATTTGGGTGACAGTGGTTGTTATTTACTTTTCCTTTGAAATTTTGCGCGGAAAATTGGCGTGCAGCCAGCCAAAATTGGTCCCTTTACGCATGCGCAAGCTCTGTGTTGCTGTTGCTGTTTTATTATTATTTCATGGAACATTAAAAGCCAATTTACACAACCCGCATATAGCATTAGCTGTGTTTGACCATTTTGTTAGCAGTCATTGTTGCAAAAAGTGTTAACATTAAGTTTCATTTTGCCTTACGGAAACAAAGTATATATTTTTATTTCCGTATTTTACTATCTAACACCCCATGCCGTTTTGTATCACACTGCTGGACAAGTGTACTGCACATGACATCAAATGGCTCCGCCACGATTTTGCCTACTGTAGTGTTTGAAGGGATTTGAATATTAGGGTTTTGTTTGATTCTCAACCCCTTGAGTTGCAAAAGGAATGGCTAGATTTAAAATTTGCTGTGGCATTGTGTGCTGGGACTTTATAACACGATGATGACGCAAATTTACCAGATGTGAACCAAGAAACTAAGATTTTTCTGTCTTACGGTAGTTTGATGTAGTCCCTCGTTAAACAATTTTTTTAAGTCCAAATTATAACGGTGAGGCCTGTTGCTTTTCTTCTTTCCAAACCTAATTTGTGAACTCGTTTGTTTTATAGGTTTCTGTTTGAAGGACGTGACATCAAACTTAATGCCAATTGTGGAATGTTTATTACTATGAACCCAGGGTATGTAATAGAGCATATTTCGATTGGGTGTCGTAGAACTTCAACCAAAGTAACCACTACAACCAATCAGACATTGAACTTATTTTGGAACCTGAAATAAATCGAATTGTTTCTTTGTTTTCAGGTATGCGGGTAGAGTCGAGTTGCCCGACAATTTGAAATCCTTATTCCGTCCGGTTGCCATGATGGTACCCGACTATGCTTTAATCGCCGAAATAATTCTGTTTTCTGAAGGATTCACCGCAGCTGCATTGTTATCGGGAAAAGTCGTGAATCTTTATCAACTTGCAAGCAAGCAGCTTTCTCAACAGGTAAGTTATTTCTAAGACAATAAACGCTACTCTGGACAGTGGACAAATGTAACCTTTATGCCTTTTTCTCATTTTGGTCTATTTACCACGCGAGAATGCTTGTTAGCTTTCCCGTGAGTGATATCAAAGATGGCTTTCGTCCTCACTGGTACATGTTAGCTGATAATTTGTTTTTATCAAATAAGTTGGTATTGTAAACTGTTTACAGGGTTCGTACGCGTCTTGAAAACCCTTGAAAACCCCTGAATTTCAGGAGGCCGATTTCAAGGCATTGAAAGTACTTGAATTTCGTTTTGGGTCCTTGAAAGTCCTTGATTTTTTATTGAACAACATCGAAAAATATCTGCTTTTGTTTTGCACCATCGGTAAACCAAAAACATAGATGTTAACAGAATCATTTTTCTTGGTTTTGAGGTAAAATTGTCATTACAAAAAGTCCTTGAAATTTCCAAGTAGGGTCCTGGAAAGTCCTTGAAAAGTCCTTGAATCTTTGGCCAGAAAAAGTGTACGAACCCTGTGTTTAGCTCTGACGAACGGTTAACACTCGAAACGTCAGCTTTAATAACTCTCTACGTTAGCCAATTTACGATATCAAATTGTTTTGTACTACTTCCCACCGACGCAGCACCATAGTTTCTTAAAACCCTTTTTACATGTTTGTCACCACAATAACACCCTCGAGAAAAATCTGCGTCATTTTAATGGTAACACACTAGGCTCTCAGTCATCCACAGACTTTAGCTTTCGTACACGATAGTCAACTGTACCGTACTGTTCAACGGCTTCCACTTGAATGTTTACGCGTCAGTGTTTCTTGAGATACTCAGCCATTTCTCATTACGCAGGATCACTATGACTTCGGACTTCGAGCTATAAAATCAGTTCTTCTTATGGCTGGACAGCGCCGAAGGGCTGCAAGGTAATTAGCATCTTTAACAAAGGTTTTCGATTCAGCCTTTTAAAACAAAAACTAAAGTAATCATAACAGCCAATCAGCAATACGTTAATGTTCTAATCAGCCAATGAAAACTCAAAGTTAAAACAAACAAACTGTCTGAAGCGCGGGACAACGCGGAGAACCATGTAGGAAAAAATTTAGCTTTGAATCTGATTGGTTGAGAAAGGAGCGAGAGTTTACTGGACCAATCAGAGAGCGATGTAAAGCATAACCAGAGCAATCCTGGTTGACTTTCGACACTCGATTAAAAATTGCACCAATTTTAATCCTTCCCAGCGTTTACTTTACTCAACGTTTTGGCTCTTTATAAGAATTAGGTGTTGTATCTAGACGTGGAATGTCGCTGAGACGGTGATATTATAAGTACTATTCTCCTATTTTCTTGGCAGGGCATTTAAGATAAGAGGAAAGTTTATTAATCGATCATTCATACGAAAGAAAGCTACAACTTATGCTACTCAACCTTCAAAAGATGCATTAAAGACAAGCTCAACTCAAATGCTTTTATCACTTCAATTGTAGAGAGTAACAAGTTGGGACTAATGAATTTGGATATATGAAAATTATATATGTGTACTGCAGTTTCATGAAATGTATGAAAGCGATCCTCGCAGTAATAAACCCTTCTTATCTAGTAGTG